AGAGAGAGAGAGGGGGAGGGAGAGAGGAACTCATATAACCCTAAAGCTCTTTCATAATTGGTCGATTCCGATTAAAGATTAAGTACCATTGACACTGTATATTTACTATTATTTATTGATTTTTTAATAGTATAATTGTAAAAGAAATTTCATTATGTAAATGAATTTGTTGGTTAAAATTTACGTAGTATCACAATTTATTTTGCGAAAAAAGGCTACAATAATCGTCACGTTAAATGAGTACTCGCTATCGCTACAGGTAGCAATGATTACGCAGCTTTGTATAGTAGACTCTAACCACGGTTCCATGTGGAAACCAGTTTTAAACGATTGAACTAAAACGTAAATGTTTAATATATTTAACAAAAACGTAAATATTTAATCTATTCTTACATATATATTAAACTGTATTTTATACTAAAAATTAATGTAAAACATGTAAGGCCGGAATCAGACTACGCATTGAAGAATGAAAAATTGAGGTTTGACCAATCAGAACAAGAGTCAGAATTTTTTCGTTCTCATTGGTGAAATTTCAATTTTTAATTTTCAATTTCAATCTTCAATGTATAGTCTGATTCTGGTCTAAGAGGTCGCACTATATCTCATTCAATATCGATCCATTCATCGTCTTCAAAATCAGTGTCATCAATGACGTTATCATCCTTGTCATTATATGCTGTACTAGTCTCAATTAATTTTATGTACGAAATTGGTATCTCATAGTTATAATAACATTTATCATGTCTTTTTAGACCATATCTATAAACAATTACTATTATTTAACATTTTCTGTATTTTAATTGGTCCAATTAAGACTGGCAATCCTATTGGTTGAATCTTAAGATTAAGACTAATTTTAGGGTTAAGACCGAAGCATAAATCAGACATAAGTATCCATCTGAGCTTTAAAAAATCATCAAAAAACGCTAAAAGGAAAATTAAATCCCGTCAGAATTACCGCTAGCCGCATTTCTTAAATTTTGTACCTAGATGACCCTTTAAAAACGCTAGATCTAGCTGGAAAACCGCTAAATTGGCATCACTG